TACCCGTGGTGGGCAGAGCACAGATAGCCCATCGTGTAGCTTTGTGCTTAATTACAAACAAACCTAAAGCAAACAAACGTATTTAGAAGTAATCCTTTGGAAGTTTTTTTACACAAAAAGAACTGTGAACTACATTATTACTCTATTTCGTTCCTATATTATATACACAAATGAAACTCATTAAGTAGTTTTAAGGAACGAATACATCACCAGTTGAAACAGGGCATAGATTTTTCTGGTTATTTACCTAAACATTAAGTCTGGCAAAGTTAGGTAGGAGAAATTAAAATAAAGTTTAGAACGCAGGTTATTGTTTGTAAATTATATTATCATTGTAAGCGAAAACTCTGTTTTTATCTTAATATTCTATATGATTTGGTATTTTGATTCATACATATCCATATATCTAAAATAATTATCGAAAAATCTAGCGATAACGATTAACCTGCACACAATTATCTAAAAATGTAACACTCAGACATGGGCGGGATTTCTTATTTTCGATCTACATCACAAATATAGTTTCTGTTGTAACTCTCAACCAATCATAATCTAAACTTGTAGCTCATGCCATCATAAATAGACAGGTCCCGCCTTCTTGTCCTGAGGGTGGAACCTACTTGGCAAAGATTCGTTGAATGAAAAAAGTTTGTTACTATCCTTCAGAGTTAAGTAGCAAAGATAAACTAAACGAGCAACACAGCTTGAAGCGATAAACTCGTTTATTTCATTATATTTCAGAACAGGGGTATCGGAACAAAATCGTAAATCCCAAAAAACGAACATTATCATCCCCAAGACCAGTAACAAAAGCTTTAATCTTCAAATGTGTTTAACTTAAAACTTTTGTTGTCAACACAGACTGTTTACTGTCCACTTCAAGGTATTAGAAAGTTTCTATTGGACAAAAACTAGCTAAAAATGGACTTCAGCAGTGAATTGCGCGACGACCCAAGCGATTCCCGAACTGAAGAAGAAAGAAGAATTCCAGATTACTGTCAAGCTATCCGGTTTAAAGGTGAGGTTTACTTTCGATCTGATGTTTCTTTAAATGACAATTAAAACATACAACTGTTTTTAATAACTTCTGTGAATTAGACATTCTTCGTGGTACTGAAATGCAGTGAAGTGAACAAAATGTTCCCCACACTTTCATAATTCAAATATGGCCTTTTATCTTTCAAAACCACAAGACATCGCATCTTCGTAAAGAAAAAATGATTTATTCTCAGTAGACAGTAAATAGTTAAATAATATAACACAACAACTAATTCTACGTTTTCTTATGCAGCTTGATCCGGGGCATTCGGAGAATCAATATATGTATATCAGAAACTAAACAGATGCACAATAGAAACATTTGTCAAACATGAAAAATAACACAAGAACTCTATAATATGTTGAAATATTTTACAATAATGCTTATAAAAATTTACCTAAAATGTATAGAGGAAAGTTATTAATTATGTAGGTTTTTAAACTTATAGATCCTGAACAAAGATGTAAGAATCAAATGAGTTTTATAATTCTATAAAATTAATTATAAAATTAACAAATTTGTTTCCTCACTTATGTGTTGCTCTGACATGAGATACGATAATATAACAATGCTTTTAACTTAAAGCTGATATTTAGGAAAGCATTATGTAAATAAGAAAAACTGCACCATCAAGATCTCAAAATAAATTTATTTTAAAGCAGCATGTATAAAAATGACCACAACCAAAGAAGTGAGTTTGTTTTGTTGCAAAGCTACATTTGCCTCTCTGCTATGTTTATTACGGGGAATCAAATCCCAGATTTTAGCGTTGCAAGCCCGTAGACTTACCGCTGTCAAACCGGGGGGGATAACCAAAGAAGATATTAATGCTAGAAAAATCAAACCTTCTAAGCATAGTTGTTCCAAAACTGTGTCAGATAGAGTTGAATTGTTCTAAAAATGTTCTAAGTCATCTAACTGTCGCTTTTGAAACTGCTCAGTAAATCGGTTTCGGCGAAAGAAAAGTAATGATTACTTTAATTTAGATTTAGCTTCAAAGAAGTTGAGTAAAATTATGCGTGGGAACTTTAAGTGAACAAGCTTGGTTAACTTTATAAATAACAACACCAATATTAACATGTGTAAGTATTTTCAAATATAATTAAGGAACTGATAACCGAGTTTAGAAAGTATCTTGGTTTCCAACAGTGAGAATTTATTGTTATCATTCTTAAACTAGTTATTAGTATAGATATATATATATATACCGTAAAATCTAATCTGTCTATTTCTCTATCTATCAGCACTAGTGCTTAAATTATATAGCCATATATATATATATATATTTATTTATTTACAACGTTAGGTTATTCCAAAGTTATGTTAATAATATATATACATTGGATAGTTGTAAAAGTACAAAGAAAACGCCTTCTTTACTGAAGTTTAACATGAATGTAATAACAAGAAGAATGTTATCTAGGATATTGTTATGTAAATATAAGAACTAAAGAGAGTTTATTTATATACATGTTAAATTACTGTTCATATTGTAGGTTTGGTACGTGAAGAATTTGTATAAATATAGATCACACAAGCCAAGATTTTTCGAAGACAGATAGACATCGTAATTTTTATTAGGAATTAATTATTTGAGATTCATAAGAGGCCCTCAGTGGTACAGTGGCAAGTATGCGGACTTATAACGCTAGAAATTGGGTTTCGATACTCGTGGGGGGCACATAACACAGCCCATTGTGTAGTTTTGTGCTTAACTAAAAACAAACAAACATATGGCAATAAATATATTTATGTTATTTAACATAAATACCATATTATATAGTGCGAAATAATATATATATATAATACAATATCATTTATACAGACACGTGAAGCAAGGAATCTTATATTAACCAACAACAGCGTATATAAAGTATGAATGGGAGTCGAACTTCGGTTAAAAAAACCTGACTTTTCATGAAAGCTATAATTAAACATATTCTGCAATTAACAGCAGACTTATTAAATTATACCAGTACAGAAAACACTAGTTAACTATTACCTAGTTACATTAAGATATTGAAAGATCTTAAAGACAAATAAACATACACAAAAAAGTCGGCTGTCTTTTCGCCGAGTAACAGTTTCCTTTAAACTCTGAACTTTAATTATAATACTTTCAACGGCGGTCCGTTAGCAACAATTGAGCACACTCATTAATGTTGAAGAATGTTATGGATCCGTCAAAGCTTCCGACGGTTTACATTATACATACTATCAATTTCAAATGTATAAACAGCCTTTATGATGTATCTTGATCATGTAGTGTCAAGAGTGAACTTAGGTTTAAGTAACACAGACAGTACTCGAAAACACTGTTTACGTCTTTATCAACAAAAGATTATAATACCTGATCTCTACATCCTGTAAACGAGTTTATACAATGTAAATTACGTTTTACAGACATCAGGTTCTATTTAAATATATGTGCGTTTCATAATATGAGACTCCAAACAACACTAGAGATTATATAAACATACGAATCTATAAAATGCTCTTTGCGTTTTATGAACACAAGAAACTATACACGATAAATAAAAAATTATGTATACTTTATTTACTCAAACTACAAACTCCTATTATGGCTCCATGCTGTTATCTAGAATTACGTTTGGTGAAGTCAAAATAGGAATTTGTAGCTTGAGTAAATAATGTCTACAATATCTCCAGCCTAGTTTCCATACCTTTTTTTTACGATCTCTGTTTGCAGGTTTTTAAATTCCCAACTTTTTATGTATTTTGTTTGCTGGCTTTTTTATGCTCAACTATGGGCAAAGGATTACTTCATATGGTAGCTAACCTTATACATTGTAATGATAACTAAACATAGCTAATAGCTAGCTGATACGGTTCATGATTATTTACTGTAGCTGTTGACTATTTGATCGCATTAGTTAGAGATGTAAAATGTTAAGTTGCAGTTGGAGATTGTCATGGAGGTTTGTTTGAGAATACAATGAGTATTTATAGTTTTTGTGTAACTAAATTCCTATATATAATGCATAACAATAGGCAAATATATGCCTAGACTAAGACACAGCCCCTACTAAGCGCGAAAAAAAATTGCCAGTAGAAAAGCAGCCATTTCAAATAAAAACATATACGTCTAAAACACCGTTTTAAATAAACCTTCGAGTCTTTTAAAGTAATTATTCTACGAATGTGTGTAATAGAATTTAATATTATGTGTATTGATTTGTTTTTACTCCTTCACTTCATACGTAATATAAGAGTTGGCTTCCTAAAGACAAAGATTGTATAGTGTAAAAAGCATTGAGTATCTACATATTACAGTTATCAAATGTTCATCTATTATTGTCTGCTAATTCCTTTTCACCCTGAACTTAAGCTTTAGGAACAACAGATATTTGTAAAGAGCTAACTTCAAGCGGTAATGATAACATCGTTTACACTAGAATTATAATGGTTTTTAGCTTATGTAAAATATAGAAGAAATAAATCGATTTTTCAATACCTCTACGACCTTTACAGTACCTTATTTAGTATACCTTTACAGTACCTTATTTAGTATACCTTCGCAGTACCTTATTTAGTATACCTTTACAGTACCTTATTTAGTATACCTTTACAGTACCTTATTTAGTATACCTTTACAGTACCTTATTTAGTATTCTACAAAAGGTTTGGCTGCATTATACCAAGCTATTTTTGTTGTAGGCTGGTAAGAGAAGAAGAATCACAAACGGGCCGCATTGAGAAGATTTTATTTTTCTTGTAAATCTAACGTGCGTGCTTTTTTTGTGCATTTTTATGTGTGTGCAGCCTTATCAGTCAATAGTAAAGGTTTTAAAGTCTTGTTTGAACCGAATCTTTACTGTTTAAGATGCTATTTGCCCGAACGTTCTAGCAGGTTTTGTGCAATTCCTTGCGATCCCTATTATGAACCCTTATAGTGGTTCATGGTAAATCTATTTGCCTTTTACAAACATAAGAATCTATGCAAATCTGTTTGCGTTTTATAAACATAAAATCTCGACTTTAAACACAACTGATTACGTCATATAAGTAAGCAAAAGATCCTATAACATGAAACGTGTATACAGGATAGATAATGGGATAATTAATTTTGTTGTATTTCTTTCGAATATACATGCGTGTACTACTGAACATTTGTATAAAGTTCGACTTAATCACAAAGAAAGGTTGTATTACATGTAATTTTGTTTTCCTTTATTGAAGAGCTTACTGTGGCCTACCTTGTGTACATATACGTCAAGACACACATATATACTATACATACAAGCATGTTTTTAACACAGATTACGATACATAAGTATCAACATGTGAACTATCAATATCATAGGATTTAGAATAGGATAAATTATGTGTATGAAATATGTTTCATACTTGTATCTGTAAGTATTAGTTCATCCTATTATATCAATAAATACACAAAATATTCTCGAAAAATATGTTTTAACTATTATGAAAGTGTATCGAGATTTCGTCAGAGTTCAAACACATTAAAATGAACAAAAACAGAAGATATTTTAAATGTAATAATTTGAATATGAATAAAAATATTTTAGAATACTATATATATATGTGTGTATAAAGTACAATCGTGTTTAAAACACTGTTTATGTTTATGTAAATACAAATGTATTGATACCATTAATTACATTTATGTAAATAGAAATCATTCATAATATTTTCTGCATTTTTATATAATTATACAAATGTCCTTGAATGTTATCATACTGGGTTCACGCATTCTTGGAATACTCAAATTCTATGAGTTTTCTAGATTATTCAGAGATTTTTTTAGAAATACTTTTGAAAGATCACCTAAATATTGGATAGCTTCATCAGAGTTTTCGTAAGGATTTGAAGTGTTTTCATATTTTACATGCAATTGTAAAGTACTGTAATATTATTTTTACGATATGATAATTAGTATTAGAATGTAAGATTCAATTAGAAAATAATTTAGATTTTTATTTTAATTCTTGAATCTT